GGTGGCTCGTCTTAACACGTCTCACACGAGGGCATCTCCGTGGGGCTCACGGACTGAGCAAACTTGCACAGGCCAGGCCATAGATTTTTAAGCTATTTTCAACCAATCAGAATTGAGGCAGTAGTTTTTATTGGTCACACAGAGCCAGCGTGGCTTGGTTACCATGGTTACATCTCAGCCAATTACAATTGAGGGCATACTGTTCCTTTGGGCATACCGCTTATCTTGACATTACACTCCAGGCCACACATTTTTTTTCTCTTTTAAGTTAGTTATCCATAATGGTGACTCTTATTCTGCTCTTTACAGTGAACCTGGTGTTTTTGTTTTGGTTTGGTTTTAGTTTTGAAGAAAATGTTTTCCTGTTTAGCCATGGCTATCCTGAAAGTAGGTATATAGAACAGGCAAGCCTCTGACTTAAACTTCCACCTGACTCTGGCTCAAGCAGGCTGGGATTAAATGTGGGTCAACATGCCTGGCTATTTGATTGTTTGTTTGTTTGCTTGCTTGTTTTTGTATTATTGGCTGATGGGCCTGAAATATAGATTTTGCTACATGTCAAGCATATGCTGTTGTATTGATCTTCATCCATGTGACTTTTGAAATCTGGCAGAGAATATTTTATTTCTCAGGATGGCATTCATGACATTAATATTGCCTGAGCTTTGTAAGACATTGAATTGCAGCTGCATAACATTGTTCCTACCTGTTATGGATTTTTTTGTTTTGTTTTTTTAATGAATATGAGTACTTAGCCTGTATGCATGAATATGTACCTCACATGTGCCTGATCCTCACAGTAGTCAGAGGATGGCCTTAGACTTCCAGAACTTGGAGTGAAGGATAGCTGGGAGGCCCCTGGTAAGTACTGGCAATTGAGCGCAACTATTTCAAGTCCAGCAAGAGCTCTTCACTGCTGGGCCATCTCTCCTGCCCTATGTTGGTTATTTAGGATCAACATTTACACTAATAATATTTTCATCTGTCCGTTTGTAACTGTTTAAACATATACGCCCTTTTAGTAAGATCTTATTAATGTTACAGTTTAAACTGAGGCACTTAAAAATTTTGGAAGATGAATACAGAACTGGAATGAGTGTATAATTCTTTGAGGGAACTTCAGTAAAAACCTCTGAGTTCTTTCTCTCTTGCTTGATTGATTTTTACAGGGGAGACAGAGTCTTAATATATATCTCTGTCTGTCCTGGATAGACCAGGCTGGCATGTAATTCAGTGAGATACACCTGACTGCTTCCTGAATTAAAGGAAGGCATGAGTCAATTCATCCAGTTTGTCCATCATTTTTTGTAGTTAGTAACTGTTCATACAATTTCTCTGATGCGTGCTCAGTACTGTTTACTTGTCGTGGTCTCTCTCTTTTTCTCTCCTTCTCCCTCCTCCCCTCCCTCTTCCTCCCTTCTCCCTTCTGTGTTAATTGGCATTTCTCCTGTAAGGCTGTATCTTATTCAAAGAGCAAAGAAATGACAGAGGTGAACCTCATTATTCAGTTTACTTCTAAGATCAGTTAGTGATTACATTAGAGCTTCTGGGTCAGGAAATAAGTGGAGGAACCACTAGAATTATGTATATTGTCAATAAAGTATAAATTTACACGATTATCTGTATCATGGTTTCTTTCATACACATGTGTGGGATATTTTAGGATGCAGTGACCTATGATGATGTGCATGTGAACTTCACTCAAGAAGAATGGGCTTTGCTGGATCCTTCACAGAAGAATCTCTACAGAGATGTGATGCTGGAAACCTACAGGAACCTCACTGCTATAGGTAAGACAGTGAATTTTCTTTTACTTTTTAAAATAAAGGAACAAATGTTTCTTTGTTACTGATGCTCTTCTGTAACTTCAATTGAGAATGAGGATTGAGGTGAATAAATCAGGTTCACTGAAGATAGTGACTTAAATTTTGCCTAATTTCCAGTAATCATACATTTTCTGGTACTATATTTTAGGCTACGACTGGAAAGACCATAATATTGAAGAACATTGTCAAAGTTCTAGAAGACATGCAAGGTAATTTTCATGTGCAAGTTAGTATGAGCATGCCACTAAAGAAATTTTAATGTGTCCTGGACATTTTAAAGAAAAACAACAGTGTAATAAAAGCACCTTTTTAAGCATATTGATGATTATTAAGTTCACAAGGATCGATGAACCTCGGTGACATGTGTCTGATTTGTGTTTGCAAGGCACTCCTCTAAGAAAGAAGACTAGGAAACAATCCCTTAACAGACATTACCGTTTGCACCTACTTTCTTGGAGCTACTCTGTAGAACCGCCAATCTATTTAGATTCATGCCACTCCTATATTGCATAAGATATATACATTGAATAGGTGTATATGTCCAAAATCTAATTAGCAAGTATTCCATAGTAAAGCTGGTGTTGCTCACAAACCTGTAGTAACATCGCTAAGGTTAGTGAGAGAGGCAGTTTATGAGAATCAAGAATGTTGTTGAAGAAAAACTTTAATCCCTGTATCACATGTCTTTGATGAACAAAAGGTCAAACTGTGAATGCAATGTGGAAATCTTTCCTTTCCCATTCTTCTTTTAATAGATATATCATGTGTCACAATGGATACAAGCCTTGTGAGCATAGGGATACTGAAAGAAGCAGTGTACCTCTCTGTCTCTCCCAGAACAATTAGAAGATATTCCCCCATTTGAAATAGACTTTTTCAGTGTGATCCAAGTTTATAATTAATTAGTTTTCCAACTTCATTGGGAATATATCCACAAACTCACACTGCAGTAGGAATGGGGAAAATTTTCTCTGTTTGTCCTGGTTCCCATTGCAAACTCTGTATGCAAATGTAGCATATTTCACATGATAGGAAAATTTATAAATGCACTCAGTGTGGTAAAGCTGTGAGTTCTTCGTATTTGTGAAAAATTCAAAAAGGAAAAGGACTGTATAAATGTGAGCCATGTAATAAACACTGTCAGCATTATAAGCATCTTCAAAGAAGTAAAGCAAGCCATACTGAAGGAGAATCACAATTGTAAACCAACTGATAAGACCTTAAGATCTCATTCCTCTTTACAACTAGTCCAGATTATAAAATTAATTCCCACAGATAAACATATTGAATGGTATAATGAATGTGGTAAAGCTTTGTCATGTGCCAATTATCTTTCCAGGCATGAAAGAAGTCTTACTGGAGAGAAACCCTCTGAATATACTCAATGTGGTAAAGCCTTTGCCCATCACAGTTATCCTCAAAAGCTTGAAAGAATTCATACTGGAGAGAAACCCTACAAATGTAATCGATGTGATAAAGCCTATTCACAATATAGTCATCTCCAAATTCATAAAAAAACACATACTGGAGAGAAGCCCTATGAGTGTAATCAATGTGGTAAAACCTTTGTATATCACTGTTATCTTCAAATCCATAAAAGAACACATACTGGAGAGAAACCTTACAAGTGTAATCAGTGCGATAAAGCCTATTCCCATCACAGTTATCTCCAAATACATAAAAGAACACATACTGGAGAGAAACCGTATGAATGTAATCAGTGTGGTAAAGCCTTTGCATGCTATGGTCAGCTTCAAAGGCATGAAAGAATTCATACTGGAGAGAAACCTTACAAATGTAATCGATGTGATAAAGCCTTTGCATGACACAGTCATCTCCAAATCCATAAAAGAACACATACTGGAAAGAAACCCTATGAATGTAATCAGTGTGGTAAAGCCTTTGTATGTTCCAGTCATCTCCAAAGACATAAAAGAATGCATACTGGAGAGAAACCTTATGAATGTAATCAGTGTGGTAAAGCTTTTGCATATCATTGTGGACTTCAAAGTCATGTTAAAACACATACTGGAGAGAAGCCCTATGAATGTATTCAGTGTGGTAAAGCCTTTGCATGTTACATTAGTCTTCAAAACCATGAAAGAATGCATACTGGAGTGAAACCTTATGAATGTGATCAGTGTGATAAAGCCTTTGCATATCACCGTAGTCTTCAAAACCATAAAAGAACACATACTGGAGAGAAACCCTATGAATGTGATCAATGTGGTGAAACCTTTGCATATCATAATTATCTTCAAATACATAACACATACTGGAGAGAAACCCTATAAGTGTAATCAGTGCAGTAAAGCTTTTGTATGTCATAGTAATCTTCAAAACCATAAACAATGCATACTGGAGAGAAACCCTATGAATGTAATCAATGTGGTAAAGCCTTTTCACAACCAAGTAATCTCAAAATACATAAAAGAACATATAAGGAGAGAAACCATATGTATGTGGTAAAGCCTTTTCAAGTCACAATAACTTTCAAACATGGTGGTTTGAATATGCTTGGCCCAAGGGAAAGTGGCACTATTAGAATATGTGGCCTTGTTTGAGGAATTGTGTCACTGTGGTGATAGGCTTTTCAGCTCTTCCAGCACTGGACACTGCCATGCTTCCCTCGGTGATGAGAATGGACTGAACCTTTGAATCTGTAGGGCATCTCCAATCTCCATTAAATGCTGTCTTTTATAAGAGTTACCTTAGTCATGGTATCTTTTCACAGCAATAAAACCCTAATTCAGACAAAAAAAGAAAACAAACAAACAAACAAACAAACCATGAAAGAAATCACACTGGAGAGAAGCCTGATGGATGAAAACAATGTTGTAAAGCCTTTGTCCTTCACAGTTACCTCCAAATGTAGAAAAGAGTACATAGTAGAGAGAAACCTTATGAATGTACTTAATGTGGTAAAGCCTTTGTGTTATGAGGTCTACTTGGATCCAACATACCTCAAAACACCAGATCAATGCAAATGAAAAGTATTTTATTGTAAACAAGCCATTGGGGTTAGAGGGTTAGAGCTACTAATCTATCAGTCCTTCAGAAAAGACTCAGGACTGGAACTGTAACCCTAGGCCAAAATGGCACAGAGCTTTTTAGAGTTAGGGTTCAGTGAGGGATTTGGCTTAGAGAAGTTAGGGGATAGGGTTATAGGGTAGGGGGTTAGCTTTACGGGGGTTAGGGTTAGGTGGTTAGTGTTAGGGTTATGATATGAGGATTAGGGATAAGGGTGGGTTAGTGTTAAGGGGCATTAGGGTTAGGGTTAAAGTTACAGGGTTAGGGGTAGAAGAGGTTGGGTTAGCTTTTTGGGGAAAAGAAATTTAGGGTTAAGGGAAAAGAAAGAAATCCCATGAGTGATTCCTATTAGTATTAGATTTTTGGTTAGGGTTATGTGTGTGTGTGTGTGTGTGTGTGTGTGTGTGTGTGTGTGTGTGTGTGAGAGAGAGAGAGAGAGAGAGAGAGAAGGAGAAGAAAGGAAGGAAGGAAGTGAAGGCATGATTTTGATGGAGGAAATATGAAGAGGTTGATTGGGGTAAGGTAAAGATGAAAATGATATATTATTCACATAAAATTCATGATGTCCTTGTTACTAGATGAATAGTATTCTATTCTGTAAATGAACCACATTTTCTGTATTTTTTCCTCATTTGTGGGACATCTGGGTTGTTTTCAGCTTCTGGCTATCACAAATAAGGCTGCTATGAACATAGTGGAACACGTGCCCCTGTGGCATGGTCGGTCATCTTCATATGCCCACGGATGATATAGCTGGGTCTTCAGGTCGAGCTATTTCTAATTTTCTGAGGAATCTTCTGATTGATTTCCAGAGTGGTTGTACCAGTTTTAGACTAACGTTTCATATAACAAACATCAGTTTATTACTCCTAGAATGGCAAGCCACCTCAAGACAGATTAGGCAGTAAACAACACAAGTCTTAGCATTCAATATTGAGTGACTCAGATTCCAGCTCTGAGTCCCAGCCCAATGGTATGGTAGACAGCATCCTAGAACCTTCATCTGTAAAACTGACTAAAGAGCACATTACCTTTCAGGGATTACTGCAAAATTAGGGGTGAAATATGTAAAACTCTGCAGGCCTACTCTGTCCCTGTTACCTAATGGACACTAAATAAACAAACATTAGTTACTGTTTCTGTCACTGGTGTTAGCGTTATTAGAGAGCCTATGCAGGATAGGTGACATCGTAACTGTACACTGGTAAACTGTTTTGTTTTTTCACATCATTAGGAATAATAAGAGACTGAGACTAAGACAACTCTACTAATTAGCATCTTGTGTTGATTTCAATGATACCCCTTTCACTTGGTCTTGCTAACTCTGAACTTTGCTAATATTCAACCCACCTTTTTATCTGTTTTCAAAAACAAAAAAAAATCGTATAAAGTGCAATATTAAGGTGAGCTGACAACTGGTTTTTCTTTTTTAATTATTTATTTATTTTTAGTATGTGTGTGGAGATGTGGGGGCACCCTCAAAGACTAGAAGTGTGTGGTCCCCTGGAGCTGGAGTTAGAAGCAGTTGTGAACCTTCTAATGTGGGTGCGGGTAACCAGGCCTTGATCCTCTTCAATGGCACTCTGTGCTCTTAACCACTGAACCATCTCTCCAGCCCCTAAAACTGCTTCTCTTAGTGAAGAACGGAATACCTGTTTTAAAATTGTAGCACATTACCTGTTAAGGACTATCACAAACAACAGA